AAATTAGTCGCAACTTGTGCAATTAATTTCATAATTAGTCTAGATTTAATACTCCATGCATGCGTCTAAACATTCGATGTGACAGTAATTTTAGGAGGTGCTGTAGTAACCAAACACACACTAAGCGTGGCTATGGTATTCATACCGTCAAACTTTCTAGATTTAACTACGTTTATTAAAAATATTAACAATATTTGTATCTCTAAATAAGTTTATTAGAAAAATACATTCAATGATCTATTTGTTATGTTCTATAAATACTAAGATTTTTTATATATATTTAGTCAGAGTTAAAAACATTTAACTCTTCTAAAAATGAAAAACGACAATTATCTTGGACGAAGGTACCCAACAGTCACCACCCATATGGCTTGGCTTGGCTATGCTCCTTCTCTCTCCTCTTGTACTCCTACGTGCGCTAGCTTTCTCTGACTTTGGCCAGTCTGCGTGAGTGAGACCACTTATGCAGCCTGTTTGCTGGTTGGTTTCTGGGCTGATAAGCCCGACTAATGCTGGTTTGTTGTGAGAGGAAAACACTGTATCATGACTGATAAGTCCTGCCTGAAACCAACAAGCGAACAGGCCGATGGTCTCCTACTCTTGCAGTCTTCCCCGGTCCTCGCCCTCATCATCACCCCTAATTTCTCAGCTGGTGTCATCTTCCATTTCATTTTTCTTTGCTCCTTTTGTGTAACACCGTGAGGTGGAGTGCTACGTGCCCTCTACCTGTTAAATCCTGTTTGGAAATGTCCTTGCAGAACCAAGGACAACCTTTTTTTTTTTGAAACAACTAATAAGGACAATTTCACTTACACGCAAGTTATTTTCCTATAAACTTTGCTCGTTTTTCCTGACGATCGGTGCCTTCCCATAGACAGGCTGTCCTTCAACACAGGCACACCGTTGCACCTGCAGACAGCGCAAATAAAGCGAGAGAAAAAAAAACACAAAGCAGAGGCCAATGGCCAACGCACGGGCACAGCAGAAGATCCCATGGCCCCGCCGCATGTGACGCCCACTGCAGCCGCGATACGGACGGCCGCGATCGCGCGGAGCCCGAAGGCACAGGGCCGGACCGGACCGGACGTGGGGGCCTCCGTTCCCGACGCTGCCCCTCGGCCGTCTCGGCCCGCGCACGCGCATCCAGTGGCAGGCCGCCGTAGTTATCCGCGCACACCGTGCCGCGTCTCCAAGCGGCGGCCCATCCCCGTCAAAGCAGGGGCGGCACGTGAACATACACGCCACGTGTCGGATAGCGAGTGGCACGTGCGACGTGGAGCGTAGGGTACTGAGGGGAGGAGGATCTCGGTGTGGGCGTTTTGCCGCTTTCTTTTTTCCTCGCCGCCCGAAAAGAATAAATTCGGACCCAGTTGCACTGCCAGTTGTATGATACGTGCGTACGCCTATATAGGCAGTGGGATACGTGGAACGGCTTATCGCGTTAAAGGCTCGACAGCTACTGGCGCACTAGGGCGCAGCGAGGAAAGCGACAGGTCTGGGAAACCGAGAATTATTGCGACCCAAATCCAGCCAAGCTACGCGTACCCGGGACATCTCGCCACGTCTTTTTCACGTCTCTGGTTAGCTAGCTTTTTTATGACTGCACCTCCCCGCTTTTTATTTCTTTGGTGAGGAACGACTAATGAGGATACTTCTTGTCCTCCTGTTGTGTCTAAAGTACATTCATTTGGTAAAGAATGCTTATTTGAATTGCATGTGTTGTGTATTTTAATTTTCTATTATTTTTAAGAAATAACATATTTGTTAAAGGAAGATGTAACAAGGTTGGCAGGAAGCAAATGTTTTTTTAAATAAATACACAGACAAACGCACAAAAGTTCATGTACACACAATTTTTAAAAGGCATATGCACACACACCCATTCCTTGTAGAGCACACGTCTTAGAGACTAAGCTAGCACATTCTCACACTAACAATGTCACCACATGCATCTTTCTATCAACGACCACGTCGCCCACCACTAATGAATGAAGTTTTGTGGGGATGCATCGAACATAAAAAAGAATTACACTACACATATTTATATCCCTTTTTGTGATTATGTACACTCAAAAGTTTCTACATACAAAACGTGTCGAGGTGAAAAAAATGCTTAGAGAAGCTCCAATGTTGGCCAGAATCGAACCGTTGGTTGAAAAAAGTGAACCGAGCACACTAGAGCATTTAGACGTTAGATGTCAGAGGCAAAACCGCACTCTGCAGTTGGTTCACACCGAGAAGTATAAAGAGACTTTTTCTGATGCCACCACCCGCCTGCTCTTGCCAGCATCGTATAGATAAACGCGATTATTTAATTCCATTCGGGTCCCACAGAGCCGACGCTCGTTGGAGGCATTGAACTTTGTTTGCGTTCGGCTTCATCGAATCAGACGGTTCGACATGACACTGGAGCTGCTCTTATGCCTCAGTCAAACACACACTAAAGTAGCCTCACAAAAAATGTTGTCTCCTAAAAAATCTATGGAACCAACTGGTTGTTGTGGTTTTGTCCACATGTGGAAATCGGTTCATTGGTCCTTGCTGATTTTCTCGCTTGTAGACGCCTAAATCAACTAGGCATTAGCGTTAGCTTGTGGGTGAGGTAATTGTCGGTTCTATCCAACCGCTGATTATCCACATGGTCAACTATTGACGATTTGTTAGGGCTGCTATGAGCATCGATTTGAATGGTCTGTAAGTTCTTTGCAACATATCTAGTTTAAGAAGTAGCACCAATGCATTATACTTTGACCGTTTAAGTGTATAATGACCAAGTTTCCTTGGAAACATCCATGTATAATATATATAAGAATGCATTTATGCAATTATTTTTGACTACTTATGATCAAGTGGAAGTTAAAACTTTCTATACCTAAAACATGTTGAGGTAGCAAATTTACAATGCCTACGACTCGTTTGGATACTCCCTAAAACAACCTCACAAAATACCTCTATTTTGATAAAAAGTCTCGTGAACCAATAGGCTACCATGGTTTTTGTCTTGCATGTGGGTTCAAACTAGTTGGCTGTCGCGGGATTTCTTGTGCCTGGCGGCGTTGGCGCCGAAATGAACTAGGCGTTAGTGTTAGCTTGTGGATGAGCCAATAGCTGGTTTATATCCAAACACCGACCATCTGCACGGTCAACCATCGATGCATTGCTAGGGCTGCTATGAGCGCCGATTTAGATGGCAAATGATTTTTTTACAACAAATCAGAATTAGAAAGTAGCCAAATGCATTCTTATATTATGCATGACCTATTTTATCTCATACCAAATATACGTACGTGGTTTTTATTGCAGCGACCCAGCAATTTGTTGGAAAATTAATAGAGGTTGGAAAATGTTAGCTTACATGATCAAAACTTCACATGTTAAAATAATCTTCCCAAAGAGTATCGCTTACCAACTGCGTTAGGTACAAATATTTTTGCAAGATGGTGCTTTGTACAGTAACTTGAAAAATAAAATACTTTTGTAGCCAAAAAGATATTATTTTACTGTAGAGCTGAGGACCGCGTATGGCATGTGGATGTATAATATCTTTCAACCTAGTATATATCTTCTCTGTATATACTATTGTTTGCTGCAACAACAAGCTATTTCGGCTGATTCAATAGTATTTTTGTGAGAGAGAATGAACCAAAATAAACACAAGCCGGCTGAAAAGTAGATGAGCAGAACATGTGGGTGTACTGTACAAAATAGAACATATTCTATCTGAAGTCGTGATCAAACTAGTACAGTACACGCCTGGAAAGCTGGGTAGGTGTACTGGGTGCGCCTACCACGAACCCGCCCCGTTCAAAATTCGAAACCGGCGATGCGCCAGAAAGCGATGGAGAGAGAGAGAGAGAGACAGGCAAGAAAAAGGAGTTATGGGTACGAGGAAGGATGACGTGGCAGCAGGGGGGGGGCTTACAGTATCCGGCTCCCCAAATGACCGTTCCACCCCTCACCGTTCCACGATCAACGTGGGCCCCGCAACCACCCCCAGTTGCTCCGCTAACCCCCCGCGCCGAATGACGGGAACACCCCTCCCTGGCTCGCAAGCGACCGCGCGACCGCAGCTTTTCCGCTTCTGTCCTCACCAACCGAAATTACGGGGTTACCTCTGGAGACCCGATGCGACAGTGGCATCTGCGTAAGGGCCTGTTTAGATTAAAAAAAATTTGTGCAGTATTTATCATATCAAATCTTGCAACACATGTATGGAGTACTAAATATAGACGAAAAAAAAACTAATTACATAGTTGGATGAGAAATCGCGAGACAAAACTTTCGAACCTAATTAGTTCATAATTAAACACTATTTACCAAATACAAACAAATAGGCTACGATACCGAAACCAAAAAAATTTTAGCATCTAAACGCGGCCTAAATACAGTGGCTGCGCCGAGGGCGTTACCGTCATTGCTCGGGTTGTCTGGGTTGCTATATAGGAGTACTGGGGGACTGCTCGAGGTGGCTATAAAACGCGGTCCAAAAAAACCAAAAGGGAAGAGGAAAAAAATAGAGTGAGAGAAGTTTTCGGAGAGAGAAAGTAAGCGAGAGAGCGAGAGAGAGATAAGAAGGGAAAACCCGGCGGCTGGAGCTGAGGTGTGGAGACGGAGGCAGCGGCGGCGGCGCGGCCAAACCCTAGCCGACGGCAGCGCGTTCGAGGCGGGGCCCTCTGTAGGCGCCGCCTGGCGGTCGGATTCGAGCCGCCGGCGTCGGCAGCTGCAGATCGGCGGTCGCGCCGACGGAATCGGCGGGGATCCCGGCGGGATGGGCGCGGCGAGGCCCGTGCTCTGGTTGTGAGTTTGCTTGGTCCGTGGGTTCTGGCTCTGGGCTCGCGAGCAAGGTTCTGAGCTCGGCGTGGGCGCTTTGCTTGCTTGCTGTGTCTTTTTGGGCGGTTTCGAGCGGATTTTGCGGGGGATTTGGGAGGGATCTACCGGGAAGGCCCGAGGTTTAGGCGGGTTTTTGAGAGCTGGAGGCTCCGGCTGGGATCGGGGGAGCCATGTCGTCTCTTAGCAGGGAGCTGGTTTTCCTCATCCTGCAGTTCCTCGATGAGGAGAAGTTCAAGGAGACGGTGCACAAGTGAGTACTCGCCATGATCATGAATGGGGTTTTTGGAGCCTTGCTTTGCTGGGTGAGCTGGGATTTCTGATGCTTTTTGCGGTTGCCCGTGCAGGCTGGAGCAGGAGTCGGGCTTCTACTTCAACATGAAGCACTTCGAGGACCTCGTGCAGGGCGGCGAGTGGGACGAGGTGGAGAGGTACCTCAGCGGCTTCACCAAGGTGGAGGACAACCGCTACTCCATGAAGATCTTCTTTGAGATCCGCAAGCAGAAGTACCTCGAGGCCCTTGATAGGTGACCGACTCATCACTACGCTACTCTTCGTCCCTTGTCGTTGTCAAGGTTGTTTTTTTTGCTGAATTTGCTGTCGGTGTCACAGGCATGATAGGGCCAAGGCTGTGGAGATTCTCGTGAAGGATCTGAAGGTGTTCGCCTCCTTCAATGAGGAGCTGTTCAAGGAGATAACACAGCTGCTGACCTTGGAGAATTTTAGGTACGGTAACTTTCCTTTCAGAAGCAAAATGTTTAGTGCATTGGGCCGGTGCATCCAGATGTGATTGTGTATTGATGATCAACAGGCAAAATGAGCAGCTGTCCAAGTACGGGGACACAAAGTCAGCCCGGAATATCATGCTTTTGGAGCTCAAAAAGCTCATTGAAGCAAACCCCCTGTTCCGGGACAAGCTGAATTTCCCACCATTCAAAGCTTCCAGGCTTCGCACATTGATCAATCAAAGGTGTTGATTGTTTAATTTTGATATGTTTAGTCACACATATTGATTTTGATGGTTTAATTTTGATATGTTTAATAACACATATTGACTTCCTTAAAATATCAGGAATGCAATTTGTGAACAGAAATTCTATGGTGTTCTTGGGTATCAATTCAATTAGATTGTATGGTAGAATTTAATTTTTATGTGCACAACTGATATAAATCAAATAGTTCAATCACGTAACTGCTACTTGTGTGGGTTTACTATTTTTGTTCTTCATCTTCTTTTTGGTTATTCTGATGCCAAATGATGTGTTTCTTTGACTTCCCTTAGTATTTATGGATGGATAAGGTGACAGTTAAATGTAGTCAATGCTTCCTTTGTTCATTTGACTTGTTGGAATTTTATTGCTCCTGGTTGTCCAGCACTACAGAATCTTCTTGATATGGTTCTTTTGGGATTGTTTTCATGTGATTTGGACATCTCTACCTGTTTATCCCAAGTAACCAGCTTTTATCGACAATGTGCAAAGAAATTTTATCACTTTATAGCGGCTCTAGCTTTAGATGCTTATGTTATAGCAGATACCATCCTTTTTTTTTCCCGTATTGTAAGGTCGTATCCATACATGCAGCAATTGGGATTTCTCTACTTGTTATGCCTACAAGTCTAACAGTGCTTCCAGAAGCACATTTCGTGCATGTAAAAGGTGAGGCTAACTGGGCTTTATTTCTTTCTTTCTAATGCCTTTCAGTCTGAACTGGCAACATCAGCTCTGCAAGAACCCCAGACCAAACCCTGACATCAAGACACTCTTTACTGATCACTCTTGTGCTGCTCCTACCAATGGAGCAAGAGCACCTCCACCTACCAATGGTCCGCTTGTTGGATCCATCCCTAAGTCAGCTGGATTTCCACCAATGGGTGCTCATGCTGTAAGTATTATCACAAGCAGGCCATTTAACTTATCCTGACTATTGATTGCTTATACTGCTTCAATGTTGCAGCCATTTCAACCTGTGGTGTCGCCATCTCCAAACGCAATTGCAGGTTGGATGACAAATGCCAACCCCTCTTTGCCTCATGCTGCTGTTGCACAAGGACCACCTGGTCTCGTTCAGGCTCCAAACACAGGTATGTTGAAAGTAATTGTGCTAAATGGTGGTTGGCCCTTTCTGAACTTTCTGTTTGCTCCCAGCGGCATTTCTAAAGCATCCTAGAACCCCTACAAGTGCACCTGGCATTGATTACCAATCTGCAGATTCAGAACATCTCATGAAAAGAATGCGTGTTGGACAACCAGATGAGGTATTAGACAAACTCAAGACTGATTTGTGTTTGACCTCATTTTCTTTCTGTACTTTACATAATCAAACAAGCTATGATTCATTGAAACTATGACAGGTATCTTTCTCTGGTGCAAGCCATCCTGCCAATATGTACACACAAGAAGACCTTCCCAAACAAGTTTCTCGTACCCTTAATCAGGGTTCTAATGTTATGAGCCTGGATTTCCACCCCCTTCAACAAACCATTCTTTTAGGTACTTGCTGGAAACATGTCCCTTGATTATTGAACTGTTACTTTGGTAACTGTCCATTATATTTACAGTTTCCTGACCTAAACAGTTGGAACAAATGTTGGTGACATTGCGGTGTGGGAAGTTGGTTCACGGGAAAGGATAGCTCACAAGACTTTCAAAGTTTGGGATATTAGTTCCTGTACCTTGCCTTTGCAGGTGACTACTTTAGTTATTGTGTATGAGTTTTGTGCAGCTGGAAGCAGCTTGGCACCTTGAATGGTAGGTTTTCATCGACAATCTGTCACTGTATGTGCAGGCTTCGCTGATGAAAGATGCTGCAATATCTGTCAATAGATGTCTGTGGAGCCCAGATGGAACTATTCTAGGTATGGGAGTGTTTATTTCAGTGCTATTATTCACATTTGGCTATGCTCTTGTTAAAATAAGACGCTGGCCATTATGGTATACTTGGGGGTGTTCTATTTTTGTTTGAATCTTGATATTGATGTTGTTGCATAATTGTGTTCTATTTTGTTTGGATCCTAATGGAGATATTGAATTCCACATGTTGCTTTTTCCAGGTGTTGCTTTCTCAAAGCATATTGTTCAGACATATACTTTTGTCCCTAATGGAGATTTGCGGCAGCAAGCAGAGGTGTGTGCACGTATTCTAATACTGATTGAGGAATAAATACTAACTGCCTTTAAGGTCCCTAACACTTTTGGAATTACAGATTGATGCACACATCGGTGGGGTTAATGATATAGCCTTCTCTCACCCTAATAAAACTCTATCTATCATTACATGTGGTGATGATAAACTCATTAAGGTGAGGATATTGTGTGATCTCTTGTTTTTTTCTCAAAACAAAAAAGAACATCTTGAGTATATTCGGACACTGGATTTGGCAGGTGTGGGATGCTCAAACAGGACAAAAGCAGTACACTTTTGAAGGCCATGAAGCTCCTGTGTATTCTGTATGCCCTCACTACAAGGAGTCCATTCAGGTACCCTTGGAATGACTTCAATGCTGATATTCTTGAAAATTATCTATTTATTTTGCACTGGCATTTTGTTGCATTAGTATTCTGGTTATGTTCCGACTGCTGCTATTTTTTTGAGAAAAGACATTTGTGTTCCCGTTTAGCATCAACTACGTCATGTCTATTGCTTTAATGGTCCCATTTAGTATCAACTACTCCATGTCCATTGCTGTAATGTTTGACGCATAAAGGTTCTGATATGCTTTATTTTACCATGACTAGTTGCCATCTTTCATGTTTTTCTTAATTTTAGCTCTGTCTTGCTCTGTAGTTTATCTTCTCTACTGCCATTGATGGGAAAATCAAGGCATGGTTGTATGATTGCTTGGGCTCAAGAGTTGACTATGATGCTCCGGGACATTGGTGTACTACCATGGCTTACAGTGCTGATGGTACAAGGTGAGACATAGAAAGTGTTAATATAGAGTTTAATATCTGCTGACGAGTAACAAATTATATAACTTGATTCATTTTTGGTTTCACTCATTTCATCTGTTCACTTACGAATTTTTTCATGCAGACTATTCTCTTGTGGTACTAGTAAAGAAGGTGATTCACACTTGGTTGAATGGAATGAGACTGAAGGGGCTATTAAGAGGACATACAATGGCTTCAGGAAACGTTCACTCGGTGTTGTTCAGTTTGACACAACTAGGAATCGCTTCTTGGCTGCCGGAGATGAATTTCTTGTTAAATTCTGGGATATGGATAACAATAACATACTAACAACAACAGACTGTGACGGTGGACTGCCAGTAAGTATCTTCCCTTTTTTCTCTGTTACCATGCTGACCAGCCTCTCGCGAGTTATACTGGTTAGAGCAGTGTGCTCGGGGGTCTCCCCTTGCCGGTCCGCGTTCGAATCCTGGTACAGCTTCTTATTGCAATGCCCAGGGTACCTCTTGCCCCTGTGGTTGAGTTCTTTTTTCTGTTACTATGCTGAAGCTTTTTGCTTAACATTGTTTTACTGATATTTTGTAGGCAAGCCCTCGTCTGAGATTCAATAGAGAAGGTTCATTACTTGCAGTTACAACAAGTGATAATGGAATAAAAATACTTGCCAATACTGATGGACAGCGCTTGCTTAGGATGCTTGAGAGTAGAGCATTTGATGGCTCTAGAGGACCTCCTCAACAAATAAATACCAAGGTAGGGATACATAAACTTTTCGTTCACATAATTTGGTTCTATTTAGTTATATTCTTCTGTCACACTGAAAATTTTGTTAGACCCTATGAGCCTATTTGTTCAGTGCTGCAATTTGCCACAAAACTCAGGCAAGCATGTCTATCCTGGGCAAGTACTCACTCCAGTCAACAATAAGTGGGCTCTCTGTAAATTTTGACTACTATTTTTTTTATATAACACCTGCAAAATATTAGCAAATATATACTTCTGTGAAACTATTTTTCAAGACAAATCTACTCATATTACTTACAATAAGTATTCTGTAGTTAATTTGGAATTGTTGACTTCAGACAACCTCAAAACGTCACTTATTTTTGACTGGAGGGAGTATCTTATTTTCTGCATCTGGAATTGTTATTAGCTACTGTCATAGGCATAATTTCTTGACAATTGTTGTACATTTGTGGTGGACGAAAGCTAATTGTTTCTTTCTCCCTCTGGTGCATTGGGAAGATACACCAGAAGGAGTGTTAAGTAGTCATGTAATTCATCTGACTGTACTTCACCACTTACCTGCCTTCTTTTGCTTTCAATTTGTGCTGGAATTTAGCTTATTCTCATGTTTGGTTTTATTGCAGCCTTCAATTGTTGCCCTTGGTCCTGTTTCAAATGTCAGCAGTCCTATAGCAGTAAATGCCGAGCGACCTGATCGGATCTTGCCTGCAGTGTCGACAAGTGTCTTGGTGAGTTCCTTCTGCCTTTACCATCCTCTCTTGCTTTTCATTATGTAGGTTTGCTAAAGGTAAAAAATTCGCAGGCACCTATGGATCCAAGTAGAACTCCTGATGTTAAACCAAGAATAACAGATGAATCTGAAAAGGTCAAAACCTGGAAGTTGGCTGACATTGTTGACAATGGACATCTTCGAGCCCTGCATTTGACAGACACGGACACGAACCCAAGCAAAGTACGATATATTGTGATTGAGTTATACAGTTTAATCACGCATAATCAATCTGACACATGAGTTAGTCTTTATATTGATGTTCTAGGTTATGTAAATTTCTGATGGAGGTTATGTTTATTTCTTTGTTCCACAGGTTGTCCGTTTGTTATATACAAATAATGGGATTGCACTCTTGGCTCTTGGCTCCAATGCTGTTCATAAGTTGTGGAAATGGCAACGGGGCGACAGAAATCCTAGCGGCAAGGTTAGACCAGAGAATTTTACTTTCTTCAGTTTTGATTGCAATCTTGTGTTCCTGCTTTCTGAATTTGTTATTTGTGTGTCCTGTTAGTCTACTGCATCTGTTGCACCTCACCTGTGGCAACCAGCAAATGGGATTCTGATGACAAATGACACGAACGATGGCAACCCAGAAGAAGCAACCGCCTGCATTGCATTGTCCAAAAATGACTCCTATGTTATGTCTGCCTCTGGTGGCAAAGTCTCTTTGTTCAATATGATGACATTCAAGGTAGCTGTCCTTTTCAGTGCCACACCATAATTTTATTCGTTTCATAGATGTCCCTGAGTCGATGGTAGTTGTAGTTTGCTGCTGATAGCTTCTGATAAAAAAGTGTTATTCCATGATCGCACCATTGCCAATCTCTGACACTAAAGCTTGGATCTGGGATCTCTGACAGGTTATGACTACTTTCATGGCACCTCCGCCTGCTGCAACTTTCCTTGCATTCCACCCACAAGATAATAATATCATCGCTATTGGAATGGAGGACTCTACCATCCAAATCTACAATGTCCGCATTGATGATGTATGCTATCGTCTCTTTTCCCTTAATACGAAACAAAGTGTCCATTATGCAAATTATGATGTTTTAATTTAGCGACTGAACTATATATTTGACTTATAAGACTTACAAAACATGCTTCATCATTTGAATTGTGAAATGAAATCTGTTATGAATTATAAGCATTTATAATTTAACTAACATATGGAATTGGTAGTCCAAATAATTTAGTTAACATAGAGAACTTGTAGTCAAAATAATTTAACTAACATAGGGAATTTTTTGTCAACTATCTATTGGAGACTGTTTGGTGAGTGAAATATTTTCATATTTAACTAATGGAAGTATTTTTTGTATTTTGGAATAGAGCTTGGTAGACCTTGTAATGCTATTTTTCATACTTGCATTACAATCAAATATTATACGAGCACTCAGTCCCAACTAGCAAACCTTCAAAGATTTGGCCATTTGGGAGTTTGTTGTATCATTAACTGCTGTAATCCTGAATCTTACACACTTTAATATATTTGTTTTCCTTTGCATATATTGTTGTAGTCTTTTTGTTAATGTGTCTTTAATCTTACATCAGGTCAAAAGTAAGCTCAAGGGACATCAGAAGAAGATTACTGGGCTGGCCTTTTCTCAATCAATGAATGTGCTAGTATCATCAGGTGCTGATGCTCAGGTATGATAATGTGGATTTTGATCTATCAATTTTTTTTTGTGAATACCAAGTTAAATGCTAGAAAACTACTTGCTTATGTTAGTTCCATTAATATACAAAGCTTTGATTGCAGTCACTTTGACAAGAATGTATCTGTCTGTCTCTGGGTAATTGATTTCTTGTGTAAATTTTGCAGCTATGTGTGTGGAGTATTGATGGTTGGGAAAAAAAGAAATCAAGATATATTCAACCCCCATCAAACCGACCTGGCACTTTGGTTGGTGATACAAGGGTGCAGTTCCACAATGACCAGACACATCTTTTGGTAGTCCATGAGAGCCAATTGGCAATCTATGATGGAAATCTTGAATGTTTGCGCTCGGTTAGTTCGCCCAACTTCTGTTGATCTAGTAATGTTTTGGCTTTGCCAATTCTCCTATGGTGAATAAGATTTGATTCATCGATTTCTCTTCATTTCTAATCCAGGCATTTCTTTTTTCGTACCACTGGATATTCACATTTTCCATGAATGTGAATTGATATTAACAACTTGATTTCAAAACTGAGCTTTATTACCAGATTCATGATGCTTTTGCATGTATCCTATATATAATCATATATCAATATTAATAAATTGTAGGCTGCACAGTCTGTGCCTTAGTAATGCTATGATACCACTTGTCATAGATCTGTTTTTTAATCGAAAGATGGTATCAGTACCTTTAATGCTCCTTGAATTGCTACATTGGGTGTTCTGATCCTGCTATTAATTCTCTTGATATTTGAATATATACAGTGGTCTCCAAGAGATGCACTCCCAGCTCCGATATCAAGTGCAATATACTCGTGTGATGGTCTTTTGGTCTATGCTGCATTCTGTGATGGTGCTATTGGAGTCTTTGAAGCAGAATCTCTTAGGTTGCGCTGCCGGATTGCTCCTTCCGCTTACATTCCACCTTCAATACTTGCCTGGTATGAATGGATCACCTAAACTATTTGTTTTCAGTCTTTGTTGTGTCTACCATCCATTTTGCAAGTGATCAATGTCTACTTGCTGTTTCTGACCTGATCCATATTATCCAACAGTGCTGGACGGGTTTACCCGTTGGTAGTTGCTGCTCATCCCATGGAGCCTAACCAGATCGCACTTGGCATGAGCGATGGTAAAGTCCATGTGGTGGAGCCTTTAGACGGGGACCCAAAGTGGGGAACAACGCCACCTCAGGACAATGGAGCGCACCCAGCAATATCAGCAGCACCATCAGCCGCTACCAACCAGGCATCTGATCAGCCAACGAGGTGACTCGGTATGCAGTTAGGGCAAAGGATGGTAGGACCTGTAGGAGATAGGGAGAAAGGATAAACAGTTAGATTATCAGGGGAGGCTATATTTATCAAGTCCACAGCGTCTCTCTCGTGGCGGCAGCACAGGTGGTGAATGGTGATTGACAATGACATCGCTCTAAGTTAGGTTTTCGTTCTTTCCTGGCCCTGGAAATCCTAACCGCACCTGGCGCCTCCACATCTGAGGGGGATGGGTCTGCTGGCATCATCTTCCTCTTTTGTAAAGCTTTTCCTGCTGAGTTTAGTGGTACCTTAGATTGTCGTTCATTTCTGCTCTGTTCTTTGGGCAGCTATTTGTAGTGTAAAAATATGGTGGCATGTTGGATGGTGATATTATGCGTGCATGGCCTGTGATGATGAATTCCACCATGGTGGCGGTCTATTTGATGGATGTTTACTAATCATGGCTCTAAATTGTTTTCGTGCCATTTGCGATTGTAGTCAGTGGACGACGTGGTGTGAGTTCATGAGATTGCTGGAAAGCTGTTTCTGGGTGTGTGAGTTGATTGGCGTCTCTGTACTTTATCGTTCACGCAACGCTATTTGTGACCATTACGGCGACATTGTCGTGCTCGTACCATTCCGGCGTGCTGTGGCACGCTGAACTTGGAGTAAGCAACTATTGGGAAGGGGGTAGAGCAGTGCAAAACCGTCCCCTAAAAATTGAGTCCGGAAAACCTGGTTTCGGAACCTTTTTCTAATCTTCTTTGCAGTTGTGGATTGCCTATGTAATGTTTTGTGCCTTCCATAATTGATGTCAATCTTTATGTGCCTGTGTCCATAGAACTGACCATGAGAAAATTGTAGATGCTATGAAGAGTTGCTTACTGAAATGTAGGACAACTATTAATCTATTATCAAGTGTTAGGTATATCACCTTTTGAAATTGTCAAACAATGTTTTTTTCCCCACTGTGTGTACGGTGTATCATTGTATGATTAGCATGGAGGCTATCCTTTCATTTCGAATTCTAGATGTACTCGGTCACCCTTTTTCATAATATTTTCCTCATTCTGGAAGATCACGCATCGGTGCTGTCTGTTGCTGCTCTCTATCTGCAGGATGGGCGTTCAACTTAGATTGCAATATCAGTTGATGAAGTAGAGTCACCTTTACAGGGTTTAGAAGAATAGCTAGCTTTATTATTATAATGCCAACCGAAGATGGTACTTGCTGCAAATATTTGAACTGTGAGGCTTCTCCTTTCAGACCCCCTACTTCATGCTCTCCAGATACTGCTCTTACCGTTAGGATCGATAGTAGTATATGCAGCTGTTAAGTTGCTGCTGCTACACTACTCTTTGAGAGAGTGGTGGCTGAACTAGGCTAGGATCGACAGTAGTATATGCAGCTGCTGGTTCATCCAACTAAAATTTAGTCCCTATCACGTCGGATGTTTGACACTAATTTAAAATATTAAATATAGATTAATTATAAAACTAATTGCACAGATTGAGACAAATTTACGAGACGAATCTATTAAGCCTAATTAGACTCATGTTTAGTCTTTCTAATTAGTATCTAAATACCCGATATGATATTTACTAAACTTTAGTCCTTACATCAAACACCCAAATTGTGGAGGCTGATTGTAGGCTGCTATGAGCTGCGCCTGGCTGGTGTGTTCACCTCTTATTTATAGCTGAACAAGAGAGTACAAAAAAGAGAGTAAAGTACACCGGAGGTCCATTAACTTTCGGTGAAGTGTCATCTAGGTCCATCAACTTTGAAACTGTATTTTTTGGTCCATTAACTTTCGTTTGGTGTCATCTAGGTCCATCAAGTTTGAAACTGTATTTTTGGTCCATGAACTTTTAAAATGGTTCACTGTAAGTCCACGCATGTATGCTTGCACGTCGGCTTCGGCCTCCGGTCTTTGCGCGCGTACAGCAGCCAAGACGTTATTTATAGCTGAACAAGAGAGTAAAAAAAAAAAACAATTCTAGTGGCTTTCCTGGAAATTGAGGAAGATTAGAGTGAAAAGACTTAGGACTTCCGACATTGACTCCCTATACAGACCTTGACTTGACTAGACTCACTAACGAAAGGTTAACAGCAGCCAGGATTATACTAACAGCAGGGATTATACTAACACTTACCTCTTATGGCGCTTCTGAATATCTCTGTATCTTTTTCCGAGGAAGAATATTTAAGTCCTAAATCAAATAGCGCAGTTTGAAAGCATGTCCAGTCCAGGGGCCATTAGGTAAAAAAAAAAACTCGCTGAAGCATCATCTCCACTATGCTTGTATCGTCTGGTCCGTTCACATTAGTGCGTGAGCACGTGGAAGTCGTTTTTCGGCCCCTCCCAGTCCCAGGTCCCAGCGTGTGATTGTGATGGTGGGGAGAATGAGAATCCTCAGGTCTGCATCTGAAGCACGTGCAGGCGGAGCCACCGTGAATGTGATGTGCCGAGGGATCCGATCCAATCCGACCGAGCTGATTAGCACGTGACTAGGGATGAAAACGGATCGGATACGGACGGATGTCACCGATATTACATTTGTTTTCATATTTCTGTCCGGATTCGGTTTGATCTGAAGCACTATGTGCATAGGATACGATTGGGTATCGACATCATAAATATGATTTGAGTATTCGGATCGAGGATCCGATCCGATATCCGATCGAATCTGGACGTATCTCAACCCCTCTAAACGGATTCGGTTTCGAATACGGTCGAAAAATATCCGTACCGTTTTCATCCCTACACGTGACCATCTGGCACCAATCGAAAACTGTAACTAGCACAAGAAAAAAGGTGATGCGGATGAAAAGCTCAAAAGCAGAGGAGACGGATGGAGATGTATATATGACGACGACGACGTAGCTTCGGTCCGTCCACCTAGGACTAAAAGCCTACGCCGCCGCAAACGGAACAGATCGAACCAGAGGGTCTTGTTGGCTCCAACTTTCCGACGAAAACAGGAAATGGAAAAGCGTAACAGGGTGTTCGGTTGCCTTTGCTAAAGTTTAGTCGGCTAAATCTAATCTCATTTAGACATGTTTTACCTAAACTAAATGGAACTAAAAGAGGCTTTAGCCAACTAGTCACCGGGATGTCGCTAAATGAAACTAAATGGGGCTAAACCTCACCTTTTATTTCCGTTTAGTCACTTTAAAGCCAAACACCTTAACTAAAAGGAACTAAAATGCCTCTTTTAGTCACCCAAACTAAACATCCAATAACTAAAGTATCAAAACACCCCTAAATAACGGTGGGTGTCGCCGTGGTAAACGTCAAACTCGGGGCCAACCCACGTAATAAAGCTACTACGACCATAAAACGTCAGCGCGCCGAAGTCATATCCGTCGTCATCGTCCGGAAAGGAAAGAAAGAAGAAAAGAAAACAGAGTACTGCATTCCGATTCGTTCAATCAAGATGTGAAGCCCGCCGGCGACGAAGACGGTGTGCTCCGCTCGCTCGTCCATCTCCGACCAAGATCTCTGTCGCGCCTCCGACTCCGATGCTGTGCTCCGCTCGTCGAGCCTCTGTATAGGCTTCCGACCCGTGACACTGACGAGTGGGGCCTCGTGCGCTCGATTCTCCCTCCCGGACCGGTCTCCGCGTAACGAACTGTCTTGTGCTTTCAGGTGAGCGAAGATATGTGGTAGTACAGTATATTTTAGAATAAAATAATGTATTTTAATTTTTGCTAGGAGCTGGTGACTGCTCTGTGGTGGGGCGGGCTTAAAGAATGTGTGGTGGTTCCGACGTGCAGAACAAAACAAAGTTGCCATCGCTTTCATCTATTTATGCCTTGCAGTCTAGTAGTAGTAGCGTTGCACGTAGTACACGGCAAAATAGCTTTTCTTCCACGTGATGTATTTTGCTCTCTCGCCGCGGGGAAGGGCACTCGCCCGCCCACGCCGTGGTGGGGCCGGCTCCCCATCTGCACGCAGAGGAGTCCACTCCACTCCCACTCCCCATCGTAAGGACAACGTGCATGATTAATCGTCGTACTTAATCTTTTTTCTACACGTGAGCTTTTCTGCTTTTACGACCGCTTAATCAATCGAGCAAGTGGGCAAATTAATCACGTCACGTGCCATATCATCTTCTTCTTGACCTCTTCTTTCATCTCGTGTATCCATCAGATTTGCCGATCAAGCGTGCTGACCTTTCGTGGTTTAATTGCTCGCCAAGTTGCCATGCCGCTGCACTCTGCACTCTGCACTCTGCACTGCACTGTCCACCACGGGTTCTGCATCATTTAGCACATGCTCACTCCGTCCAAAACAAATAAAACTCTAGGTAAGAATCATTCGGACAATGTTTTGTTCGGATTTGTATTTGGGTGGTTCAATAGCTCAAAATAATTTACTCCTTTGTCCCTGAAAGAATGAATTTCTAGCAACTTTAGGACAGATTAGCAAAGAAAATAAAAGACCATGTTGTCCCTCGTTAAACTGCTCAACCTTAATAGCTCTCCAATTACCGTGAAGCCTAATTAATTTGTATCGTTTGGAATATCCAATAGCCTCAAGAGCTCAAAATAATTTACTCCTTTGTCCTGAAGAATAAATTCAAGCAACTTTATGACATATTAGAGATAACCATGTTGATCATTGGGCTGTTTACCTTAATCCTCCAAAAAAACGATTCTTTTGAAGACAAGATCGGTGGGCTGTTTACCTCCAAAAAAACGATTCTTTTGAAGACAAATTTTTAAGCTAGAAATTGATTCTTTTAGGAACAGAGGAGTATATTCTGGATTATTACAAGCTATGTTGTTTAGATTAGCTAGAGATTCTTTTAGTAGCTAGCAACTTATTTTATGGATCTAAATAGGGTATGCGACTTTTGTGTGAGAACATGCTGGCTCGCGAAAGAAAACATACATGTTATCAGCGGATTAGGACTTGAAAGTAATTTTCCATAATCATATATTCATTTGTTGCAAAGAATTAAGAATCATAGAAACTATTTTTTGCCATGACTTTTACAAAAGTCATGT